ACTATTTTTGCTCCTGGTTGGTACATTCAATGGGTCGTTTGAGAAGAACGATCATCATTTTGTTACAAATCTGCAATTGGATAGTCTGTCGTTATCTTCAAATAAGCAGGTACTTCTGTCTCGGTAATTGAACAAATTTGAAGTGATATTTGATATATTTTATTCAAACTTTCTCAGTAACAATACGTCTACGTCTGCGAAAATCTTATATATACAGTATCAGTAATTCTCTAAAAGATAATATGCTAGGTTGATTATAACATATAATCGAATATTCTAACATATGATCGATTGATATGTCGCCAAATATTGTATGTACTTATAACTTTATCCCTACCATCGTAAGTATCACTAACGATTTATGCACTGTAGATTTTGATTGTAATGTTCAGATTTTGAATGTCTTGAAGATTTATCAATGTTTCTTTTTTTATATCTTTTACGACGCAATTTTTACATTCATTTTCATTTCTCTGTTCTTTTGTCATAAATTTCTTGATCAACACAAGAAGCGATCATAAATTTAAGTTCTTATTTGCTTGTTAGTTTTAATAATTTCAAACCAAGCATGGATACAATGGCAAGAGTAGGCAAGGAGTTAGAGAAATTGAAAGTTAAAGAAAGATTGAGTATAGTGAGGACTGAGGAAAGGATGAAACTCGAAGGTGATTCAAGAAGATAAGATAGAAGATGGCGATTGACGTTGCATTTAAATTCTACAAGATTGTAGTTATCAGGGACGCAAGTAAACGGGAAGGAGCTCCACAGGTGGGAAGTGCGTGAAAAGAAAATTTTGGTAAAGAGGTGGTGGTTGCTTTTCGCTATAAGAGTGGGAGTGGGACCTAGAGGCCAGTCTTAGTAGCACATTTAAATTCATGTAGTCAGATCACTAGGTAAAAAAGATCGTTAGAGCAATTTCCATGAAGATATTTGTAGCAAAGACAGTGTTGCATCGGTAAGGAAGAGGCAGAAATCGAGATGACAATTCAGGATCGAATACGAGGGAGAAACTCCAAAACGAATAACGGGAGCATCAGACCAGGTATGGACGCTCTATTCAATATACAAACAAATAGATAGATAACAATGAAGAGAATGTGATAGATAGATAGATAGATAGATAGATAGATAGATAGATAGATAGATAGATAGACAGATAGATAGATAGATAGATATTTGAAGAGAATGAGATAGATAGATAGATAGATAGATAGATAGATAGATAGATACTGAAGAGAATGCGATAGATGTATAATGAAAAGCCTGCGATAGATAGATAGATAGATAGATACTGAACAGAATAAGATAGATAGATAGATAGATAGATAGATACTGAAGAGAATGCGATAGATGTATAATGAAAAGCCTGCGATAGATAGATAGATAGATAGATAGATAGATAGATAGATAGATAGATACTGAACAGAATAAGATAGATAGATAGGTAGATACTGAACAGAATGAGATAGATAGATAGATAGATAGATAGATAGAAATATAGATAGATAGATACTGAAGAGAATAAGATAGATATATAGATAGATAGATAGATAGATAGATAGATACTGAACAGAATAAGATAGATAGATAGATAGATAGATAGATAGATAGATAGATAGATAGATAGATACTGAACAGAATGAGATATATAATGAAAAGACTGCGATAGATAAATAGATAGATAGATACTGAACAGAATGAGATAGGTAGATACTGAAGAGAATTAGATAGATAGATAGATAGATACTGAAAAGCCTGCGATAGATAGATAGATAGATAGATAGATAGATAGATAGATACTGAACAGAATAAGATAGATAGATAGGTAGATACTGAACAGAATAAGATAGATAGATAGATAGATAGATAGATAGATAGATAGATAGATAGATAGATACTGAAGAGAATGCGATAGATGTATAATGAAAAGCCTGCGATAGATAGATAGATAGATAGATAGATAGATAGATAGATACTGAACAGAATAAGATAGATAGATAGATAGATAGATAGATAGAAATATAGATAGATAGATACTGAAGAGAATAAGATAGATAGATAGATAGATAGATAGATAGATAGATAGATAGATAGATACTGAACAGAATGAGATATATAATGAAAAGACTGCGATAGATAAATAGATAGATAGATACTGAACAGAATGAGATAGGTAGATACTGAAGAGAATTAGATAGATAGATAGATAGATAGATAGATAGATACTGAAGAGAATGAGATAGATAGATAGATAGATAGATAGATAGATAGATAGATACTGAAGAGAATGAGATAGATATATAATGAAAAGTCTGCGATAGATAAATAGATACTGAAATTAATTAGATAGATAGATAGATAGATAGATAGATAGATAGATAGATAGATAGAAAAATCGTGACATAAAAATCATGATTAAATCTTGTCTGCATCCATTTTCAAATTCGACAGACATTTTTTTCCAAAGAACTCTACGTGCCATTAAGTTGCAGCACTGAATACAGAATATGACTTTATATAATAATGACATTATTTACATGAATCTTTCCGAGTTTTATTTAAAGTTTGAACATATATATATATATATATATATATATATATATATATATATATATATATATATTTGTCTCTCTTTGTCGGGATCACTTCTTTTATATATAGTTAAAACGTATCAATTGAACGAATATCTTTGAATTGCGTATTTCACTGTCATCTGAATTTTGCAAATTTATAGTATTTATTATGGAGCTAATTTGTAAATGTGAAAGATGGATTTTGACGAGAAACATTTTCTATTACGACACAGTGACCTAAATTTCTCTTGCAGTAGATGTAGCGGTTGACTCGATGTAGTTGCTCCACTTCAAGTCAGTTGAAAGTGTGAGGCCAATAGGGCGCAGTGTGTTGCTCTCCAGGAGTCCAGTATGAATAAGAAATAGATCATAATCATCCTCGAACTCACATCACATATTCTAGGAGGTCATCTTACAATGTTAACGTCTTTCCTTTTATATCAATATTAAAGAGATTTTACGGAATGTTGAATTAAAGAATATTAAACAATTCCAATACCAATCGACTACTAGATAAGACGGCAATTTCTCCTACAAATGTGGACACATGTTTGACCTCTGCTCTCGAACACATTTTATTTATTAAGTGTATTGAATGCGTAGACTAGTAGATGTAAAAACTTGGCTAACCGTCTAACTCTCTGCCTTCGGGCGGAGAGGAACCCGGACGAGGCTTCGCCGAAGGACAGAGTCTCGTTCGGGGTGGTTGACTGCCCCTGAACCCGTTTATGCTGGTTCAAAGAGGGAATAATTTTTGGCTGAGCCTACGGGCTCGGAGATCACACGTTAAACCCGGCCTTGTGCCACATGTAACCCTCGTGGGGGGGTAGCTAAATATCACTAGAAGATCTATTTTACACTGTTTAAAACCTGGCATCTACTGAAACAAGGACCTCCACAAAATTGCGTTTAGAGTATAAGAAAACATACATATGTGTATGTCCACAAGTGCATGTGTTTGGGTCTATCCGTGTATATATATATATATATATATATATATATATATATATATATAGTCGACTCTCCGTCGAATTCGATCTATGAGGGTCAGGCAGATCAGTTTCCAGGAAACCGACAGCCCGACAACGATACACGAGATTTGATTATAGTGGTGACGGCTTCGTGCAGGACCATCCACACTTTTTGAAGGGACGAATACAGAGACCTGGTGCACTAAGTGCCACAGGGTCAGCAAACGACCCTCCGCGGGTTTTGAATTCAGAGTTGTCCTTCTCCTAGACCAGTTGCCATCCAAAGCTATAGAACCCAGTCTGTCCTACTATTTTACCCATAGCTGGAGGGAGAAGAGGATTCACACCTTTCCCAAGGATATTATTAGTACGTAAGTGAATGTAATGGATTCGACTGGAATTCGAACTCGGCTCTGCGATTACTCAATCTAAACCGCTATCAATTACTCCACCTCCTCCTTATATATATATATATATATATATATATATATATATATATATATATATATATATATATATATATATATATATATATATATATATATGTGTGTGTGTGTGTGTGTGTATCGGTTTGAAGTGTGATTTTAAAAAATAACAACACAGTGATAAGAAAGGAAAAGAAGTTGAAATTTTAGCCGAGTTTGATACACGCTGTACTCACCCTTGTGAAAGGCATGAACCTATATTTACCTGTAGTTTATTTAATGAGCAGATAACTATATTTCACAGTTGAATTTTCTATATGTAACCGTAAGTACTCTCCTAGCAGTTTCTTCTTTCGCTCTTCATACTTCTGGAACCGTCTTCGGTGTCTCGCTTTCCAAACAACTTTGAGCTTTAAAAACATAAATCCAATTTCAATCGTCAGCCCCTGTCTTCTTGATTCCAGTTCTTTTATTGCTGTCTGTCTGGAATAATGCTTTTCATTTTCCTAAGATTATTTCACACTCAGTAACCCTTTGCACATTAGTGACATTATTGCCTTGTTTCGGGTAAATTAATTAAAATATTTTTCTTGATCAATGTACGCTTTCTGGGATTGAAAAGGAAATAACTGTCGCAGATTACTACCACATCGCAGAGAACAAATCACTGTAAGTTCAGACTCGAATATCGGGGTCAGGAAGAAATGACGAAAACTCGATTCGCAGGTACTACCTCACGAATCCCAAAGCACGTAACCAGTCAGAGAAATAACTCACTCTCCGACGAACGCGGTAGCCAAAATACACGAATTTCATTCCTCCCTCTCGATTCGAGAATACCAACTGCTTTTATCGGCCGAGCATTTTTTTTCATTCGTCGACAACTAGGAGAGGACGCCCAATTTTAGCATATCAAAATACTTTTATGGTGACTCCTGCGACTGACTTGTTTCTAATTTAAATATTCCGTATTCAATATGTCATGCGGAATACGTGACATTTTTATTTTTGTTTTTGTTGAGTAATTTTCT